AGCTGGGGACTGGCTCCGCTCCGTAGACCTGCAGGAACCAAGAGGAAACGGGGCTGGTTTTCACCAGACTCCTTAGCCCATCCACTTCCCCCAGCAGAGGCAACAATCTGCCCACAGCCCAAAACCCAGCTGCTCCTCCCGTCTGGCAGCCAAGGGGATGACACCCTTGTTCCAGCCCTAGGGATACCCTCTCCCCATCCCAGCAATGATCGTGGTACCCAGAGGGACCCATAGTGTCCCCCATCCCCTTTATGGAGCAGGACTTACAGAGCAGGAAGCGCCGCAGGTTCTGGGCAGATCCCCCCGAGAGTAGGTAAGCCCAGGCAGCAGCAGCGGCCATCAGCAGGTATGAGGGCACCAGGCTGCCCACGTACAGGGGGTTGCAAAATGTCTGGGGAGAGAGGCAGGAAACAAAAAGGGGTGAGCAGCAGGAGAGGACAGAGACGAGACAGGTGGTAGCATCACCACCTCAATGAGCAAAGCAGGACAGGGGACACCAGCTCCAGGATTCAGCTTGTGAAGGGCCAGTTCCAAGTTCCCCAAACCCAACTGCTTCTCTAGTGCCAAAGGCTGTTCCCTCCCCAGCACAGGGACCAGCACACACCGCAGCCACCCCTGAATATATGTCCTGGCACAGACCTCTCAAGCTACTCACCGATCCCGAAACAGCAAGGTGCATGACAACGACTGCTGTGATCTCCCACCAGCGTCGATGCTCACAGCCGTGGAAGAAGAGGATCCCCCAGAAGGTGTGAAGGAAAATCAGCACCGTGGTCATAAAAGCTGCAGAGAGCAGCAGAGGGGTGTCACCAGGGAACCACCCACCCAGACCTGGCCTGCAGGCTCAGGAAGGGATGGAGAGGAGCCAGGAAAGGGGAGTAGGGGCACTGCTGGGCCGGACTGGGAGGTGCTCCGGCAGAACCCGAGTGTGGGAGGGATGGATGAGAGGAACAAGGAGGGTCACAGGGGTCAGAAAGAAAGCTTTGGCACAGAGGGATATGACAGGGGACTGTAAGGGGCTCAGATGGGAAGAGGGTGCAGCATGGAGGGGATAGCATAGAGGGGAGACTCCAGTCCCTCCGAGTCTGACACCTCTGTCGTGGGGCAGAGACATGAATGAAGGGTGCTGGTCGTTCACCTGAGGTCAGGAAGTAGAGCTGTGAGTCCCCGTGGATGCCCACGGTGCCAGGCCCTAATGCGTCTGCCAGAAGATTGATCATGGAGAAGGCGCCGCTCATGAGCCCAAAGCCCACACCAGCCACTGCCGGGACAGGAACACCATCAGACCCTGAGCCTCCCAGGGCCACTCCAGGCACCTCCCAGACAGTTTTGGCATGAGAAATGTCCCTTTCCCTCCAGCACCATGCCCAGCCCAGCCCATCCCAGCCCAGGCTCACACCTGGCCCCACAGTTGGGATGTCCCGCTCTGTGCAACACTCACCATATGCCATTTGCTGGATGGAAATGGGCGAGCAGCCGTCCTCACTGAGGGCCACCAGGCCCTCGATGGCTTTCCTGGAGGGGGGAGAGCATGCTGGAGCCTGGCACAGCCTGGCTCCCTCCTGAGGCACGGTGCAGCACCAGGATGGAGCAGACGGGACTGTGGTCTCACTCGGCACCATCCTACCCTCCTGGTAACCTCCCCATCACCAAGGCGCAACACCCACCATGGAGAGCACCCGCATGACGGCCCTGAACCATCAGACAAACCACGCATGTGAAAACCACGTGAAGCCACACAGAAAGATTTTCCACAGAAGAATGCGAGTGCCAGCCAGCACGGCAGAGCAGGGCTGGGGCGAGCAGGACATGGTGTTCAAAGTAAGCAGCACCCCCACGTGGAAAGCAGCCCCAGTGCAGGCGTGGAAGGCTTGTGTTGGGAGGGCGTAGCTGATCTCTGCATTTATAGTCTTAGAAGATGTTGGGAAAAAAATGGAAGGGGTGAAGAGCTTAAAGAGTTAGGAAAATTCTTTGGGGATAAAAACTGGGAGAGGTGCACTTCATAATTTTTATCAGCTAGAGGTGTGGCAGGTGAGGAAGACACCAGATGGCTCCTCAGCCCCACGAGGACGGCAGTGCTTGCAACAGCAGATCCACAGGGCAAAAGAAACAACAGTGGTTTAGAGCCTGCTTCGTGGAGCTCTGCTACCCTCTGCCTACCTGCCTCCAGCAGTGCCCTGCCGCAGGGAGCAGTGCGAGCCTGCATACCCAGCTCCCCCTCCCCGGCCTTCCCGCAGGCCCTCGCCAGCACCCAGACAGCTGGGAAGGCTGGGGGGCACAAGGGATGCCAACTACAGCATCGCCTCCCCTTGTCTACCTGCCCAGCCCTAGCGCAGCGTCTGTCTATCCATCTGAACACAGGACAGGCAGAAGCGCGCGCTCACCGGGCAGGCAGCCGCAAGCCCCTGTGCTCCAGGCTGGCAGCAGCAGGGAGGCTGAGAGCTGCTGAGCTTGTGCCCAGACTTTGCCCTGCGCTGGGCAGGGCACCGAGCACAGGGTCAGCAGTGATGTGCTGCCCCACAGAGCCCCAGAACCACCTTCAGGCTGTCCCTGCTGACACAAAAACGTCCCTAAGAAAGGAACAAGACTTGCCAGGAGGTAAGGGCAGATCCCTAACCCTTCTCTGTCCTCCATGCAGCAAAGCGGGCATTTCCCTGTGTCTGGTGTCCCCCCAGAATCCCCCTGACCAGGACAGGGATGTGACACGTCCTGGAGCAGCCCAAACCCACAGCCTACCTGTCCCAAATTCAGGGAGACGCTACCAGCCATGTCAGCCCTGGGTCCTCCAAACCTCAGGGCTGCTCTGCTCCCCACCCAAGACCCACTAGAGGTCAATGTACCGACACAGATATTGCCCGTGTGCTCCCAGAGAGGACTGAGGTCGCTTGGTACCACGCTTGCCATCCCCCCCCAGCCCAGTCAAAATCTCGTACATGCCACAGCCACGAGGAGCACCCGGCAGCGCTGGAGCAGGGTGGGAGCTGCCCTTACCTGAGGAGCTTGTAGTAGAGGAAGCGGAAGGCCTCCTGCAGCAGCACAGAGAACATCACCCCGAATATCAGGAGCCCCTTCTGCAGCGGCTGGTCCCGGGGGTCACTGGCTTTAACCGCAATGAACCAGATGAGGGAGGAGAGCAGCAGCGACACCAGCCAGAAGAAAGCCCTGCAAGAGAGACCGCGCCTGCTGGCACTGGTGCTGTGCCGGAACCAGTGCCGGTACTGGTGCCAGTGACACGCCCCTGCCCATGCCTGTACCCCTCTGGGTTGGTACTGGCACAGGCAGCGGTGCCCCAGCCTCTCACACTCTCCTACCAGTGCCATTCTGGTACCAGTGTTGGGAAGGTGGTGCCTGTACTGGTACTGCTGTGTGCCCACACTCCTCCTCTGCAGGTAACCAGAACTGGCACCAGTGCCCCTGTCATGCCCACAGCAGTAACAGTGACACTGCCAAGCCCACACCAGTGCCAGTTCCAGGCTCATATCCATGCCGGTTCCGGTACCACTCTCTACTGATCCTGCGGTGGTACTGGTACCAGTGCCCCTGCTGCACGCATGCACCAGTACCACTACCAACCCTGCACCGTACTGGTACCAGTGCTCAACTGACCCCACGCCATTACCCATGCCGCTGTCCCTCCCCGTCACGCCCACACCATGTGGTGGCCATAATGGCACCAGTACAGCACCAGCACTGGTGCCCCTGTTGTGCAAAGAACAGCACCACAAGTACCAGTCCTGCGCCCCTGTCATGCCCACTGTGGTACCAGTACAGGTACTGGTGCTCCTGTTGTGCTTGCAATGGTGCCAGAACAAGTATGGATACAGGTGCACCGGTAAGGTGTGAATACTGGTGTCCCTGCTGTGGCCACAACAGTACCAGTAAAAGAACCTGTAATGGTGCACCTGTCACACAAGCAATGGCACCAGTATGAGTACTGGTGCCTCTGTTGTGTCCACACCAGCACCAGTACTGGTTCCCATGTTGTGTCCAACAGTACCAGCCACGTCCCTGTCACATCCATACTGGTACCAGCACCAGCACTGGTAACAGCACCCCTGTCACACCCATACTGGCACCAGCACTGGAACTGATACCACTGTCCTTGTCATGTCCACACTGGCACCAGCACCGTTACCAGTGCCCCTGTCACGCCCATACGGGTACTGACAGCGGCACCAGTGCCCAGTCACACCTATACTGGTACCAGCACCCGTACCAGTGCCTCCGTCACGCCCATACTGGTACCAGCACCGGCACCAGTGCCCCCGTCATGCCCATACTGGTACCAGTGGCCCCGTCACGCCCATACTGGTACCAGCACCAGTACCAGTGCGTCCGTCACGCCCATACTGGTACCAGCACCGGCCCCAGTGCCCCCGTCATGCCCATACTGGTACCAGGGGCCCAGTCACGCCCATACTGGTACCAGGGGCCCAGTCACGCCCATACTGGTACACCAGTGCCCCCGTCATGCCCATACTGGTACCAGTGGCCCCGTCACGCCCATACTGGTACCAGCACCAGTACCAGTGCGTCCGTCACGCCCATACTGGTACCAGCACCGGCCCCAGTGCCCCCGTCATGCCCATACTGGTACCAGGGGCCCAGTCACGCCCATACTGGTACCAGGGGCCCAGTCACGCCCATACTGGTACCAGGGGCCCAGTCACGCCCATACTGGTACCAGGGGCCCAGTCACGCCCATACTGGTACCAGGGGCCCAGTCACGCCCATACTGGTACCAGCACCAGTGCCCTGTCACACCCATACTGGTACCGGCACTGGCACCAGTGCCCCATCACACCTATACTGGTACGAGCACTGGCACCAGTGCCCTGTCACACCCATACTGGTACCGGCACCGGCACCAGTGCCCCATCACACATATAATGGTACCGGCACCGGTACCAGTGCCCCCGTCACGCCCATACTGGTACCAGCACCGGTACCAGTGCCCCTGTCACACCTATACTGGTACCAGCACTGGCACCAGTGCCCCTGTCATGCCCATACTGGTACCAGCACCGGTGCCAAGCCCACACCAGTGCCAGTTCCAGGCTCATATCCATGCCGGTTCCGGTACCACTCTCTACTGACCGGCACCAGAGCCACAGCAGCACCGATACCGGTGCGGGTGCCCAGGGCGGCAGCAGTGCCCGCGGCGGTGCCGGCGGCTGCGGGACTGACCCGGCGATGAGGATGATGATGCGGAGCGGGTCGCGGGCGATGGTGAAGAGGAAGAGCCCTAGCGCCGGCCCGAAGGCGATGAAGGTGCACCCGAAGAACACGGCGAGCGTCATGGCGGCGCGCGGGACCGGGGACAGGAGCGGAA